CTCACAGCCAGACCTGCTTGTCTTCACTGCGGGGTTCGCAGGCTGTTTTCCTGTGTACTCAGCATAATGGGCGTGCTCGTCTCTAGAGGGGCTGGTGGCCGGCCGGGTGTGTCCACGGCCCCCCTCCCCGGCCCTGTCCAGAGACCCACCGCTGCCCCTCTCGTCCTGGGCCTGGATCCTGGGTTCTCTGTTAGCCACTCGGCCAGAGGGTGCGTCTGTCTTCCTGGGCTCCATGGCAGTGGAGGTGGAACGAGGCTGAGGCCAGGCCTGGCGCCTGGGAGGGGCCGGGAGTCTCCCTGCAGGTCTGAGGTCCCTCATGGCGGCTCTGGTGGTGTTGCTGGGTGGGCCCCTTGTGGCACAGTCTGTGTGCTGGTCGGTGTCTGAGATCCTTACACTTAACTGTCAGGGCCACTGTTTCATGCCTCGTCTCTGCTCCCGCTCTTCTGTCCCTCCTGCCTTGGTTTAGTTCTGCATTTCACCTGACTACGTTCCCGGGTCACAGTGACCGTTCCCAAGCTCTCCCTGTCCAGGACTGCCGCTCTGCCATCAGGTCCGTGCGGCTCCCCCCTGCGCTGGCGGCCCCGTGGGACAGTGTCCATGAGAGTGGCTCCCCCTCTGCCAGGCCTTCCTTCCCGGCCGCCTGGCTTCCTGGTCTCATTTCCCTTCTGTCTGGAGGACTTCCTGCAGCAGCTCTTTTGGAGAGGGTCTGCTGGCCCTGGACTCTGCTTCCTCCTCCGTCCACAACTGTTTGGTTCATATGCGTTCCTGAAGGGTATTTTTGCTGGATGTGGGACCCTGGTTTAACGTTTCTCTCAGTGGAGGCCGCTGACCCGCGTGCTCCACCCACCCCTGGCAGGCATGTCTGGAGGCCTGGAGCTGGACGCCCCAGCTCTGAGCAGTGCTGCGCGGTCACGTTGGGCTGGCCTGGGTTCCACGTCCTGTCCCATCTGTCAGCTGGCCTGCTGTCTGTACCTTCTGGGCAGGTCCAGAATCCAGCCACTCCCAGCAGCCCCGCGGTGGGCCGGCCCCATCACCCGCACCCCTCCCCCCTTGCCGGGGCCCCTGGGGGCAGCCGCGCTCCGTTATCGGCCCTGCAGTGGCTCTCGCCCGGCTGAGGTCCCTCTGAGCCTCCTGCCACACTGCCCCCCGTTTCTGGGACTGGCTAGGCCCGCCCGCGCTGCTGGCCTGGCCCTGTCCCCATCCCCGGGCGTCCACCCTGGTGAGGCCCTCCTTAGTTCTACGCCCGCCCGCTCTGTTTTCCCCACATGCATCCTGTTCCTCTCACACCTCAGCTCAGGCAGGCAGGTTTGGGGTTTGTTGGCGTGTGCCAGGTACTCTGGACCACTTACTGTCTGTGGCACTTGGGACCTCTCACCCTGGGTCTTGTCACCTCACAGTGAGGGTTTGTGAGGTGATGCAGGTGTTCCCAGCGGGGCTCAGACCCCAGGCCCCCGCCGCTGAGCTGTGTGACCTGGACACTGCATTTACCAGCTGTGACCAACCTCGGGGCCAAGGTGATGAAGAGGCCCATGCATTGTCAGTGTCAACCTTGTGATCCGGATGCCCTTGGCCCCTCATGGGTTCTCAGTGACTCCCGTTCTCCCTGCTAACATCTGATGTCCCCTGCAGGGAGGAAAGGGTGGGCCGTGTCCTGGGCCCAGGAGCCAGCTGAGCTCGCCAGTTCCCTCTCTTTGTAGGCTTAGGCAGAGGATGAGTTTCTGGGTCACCGCGTCCAGGGCACCGTAGGAGTGAAAGTCTGAAATAGGACCTTATGAAGCAGTCTCTGTGTTGTAATTATTCCACAGGCCTTTCAGGCAGTGAAATGTTTACAGAGTTCAGCTGAGGTTTTCCTGAGGGTCCCTATGGCCTAGGACTCAAATGTGAATGTATTTATGTTGAATTGTACTAAAATAGTTAAAATAGAAATTTTGTTCACTTCTAACAATTTTAAATGCCCAGTATTGTGAAATGTGGTAAAAGAATGCACTGTTTTCTTAGCTTGGGGCTAATTTATCTAAACATGGCTGCCTTTGTTTTTGTTTTCATAAAGAAAATAAAATTTAATTGAAGGGCAGGAAATAACACCTAAATGGGAGATGTTCCTTGTCTTGTGGATGGGGAACTCTTGGTATTATTCGCCTACCAATTCTTCCCGCACTAATTTATAAATTCAGTGCAATTCTAATTAGAATCCTAATAGAATCATTTGTGGCCACTGTCGGACTGATGTCAAAAGTTAAAGTGTGAATAAATATGCGAGAATGAAAAGGCTGGGGAAGTAAGAGGGTTGGGCTGCCGGATGTCAGGTCTTAGGTCTCAGGTCTGCAGCCCCACCCTTGCTTTTTAAAAAATATCACTTGAATTGGGGTAGGATTTTACTGGATGACACATACCCACCTGAGTCCACATCCCTTGAGTTACACACCATGTGCACTGCCAGGGGTGGGGGGAACGTCCCGCCGCTGGGAAGCTGCTGTTCCCTGGCCCCCTCTTGTGAGTCATCGCAGACGGCAGGTGTCTTTCAGGGCTGGCTCTGTGGGCGTGGCGTTCACTTCCACACACAGGTCTGAGTGGACACGTCCTCTTTTCCCTTGAGTAAACACTCTGGGCTGAGGCGGGGTGATGGGGAAGCCAGTGTGACTGTCAGAGCTGCGAGCTGCTCTAGCCCCTGTGTCGTGTGCAGCCCCCTCCCTCGTGACGCCGGAGTGCAGTTGCTCTGTGTCCCTGCCGGCGCTTGAGCCTTCCTGTGCTGCAAGTTTGCTTTCACTGTGGCTGGTGAGGCCGCACGTCTGTCTGTGTGCCATTGGCCATTTGTTTACCTTTTCCTCTGAAGTGTGTGTGCAGTCTTTTGTCCTTTTTTTTTTTTCGAGATTGTTAGTCTGTTGTTGGGTTGTAAGAGTTCTTTATGTTTCTGGATACAGAGGCCTTTGTCAGACACGTGTACTGTGAATGTCTTCTCCCAGTTTGTGGTTTGCTTTTTCATTTCTTTAGTGTATGTTTCATGGTGAGAGACAGGGAGCTAACGCCTGGTGGCAGGTCCTCTGCTCGGCTCGATGCTTCTGTGTGTTTGTTCGCTTGATCTTCGTGGTGTCCTTCAGGGGCTGGGGGCATCCTCAGCTAGAAATGGAGGGGTTACAGTGTCTCTCCAAAGACACACTCTTCTCCTTGGGTGTAGGAACTGGGCCTCTGCCTCCTTTGCAGGCAGCTGTTGAAATGCAGAGGGGCCCAGGCGAGTGTGTGACTCAGGCAGCGTGCAGGCTGGTACTTGGCACTTGTGGGCCCTGTTTCCAGGTGAGGCCCGCCCACTGGCTGCTGAGAGCCAGCCTCCTTCCTCCCACATCAGGGCTCTGAAGGCTAATACGGAGGGGGCCAGACAGAGGTGAGGAGGCTGCCTTCGCTCCAGCCACGCAGCCGTCTCTCAGCCAGGTCTCCTGGGTGTTCAGCAGCAGTCGGCCCGCCCGTCTTGCCCGTCTTGCTTGGGGCCTCAGAGCCCCTCTCTGCCTCCTGTCCTCCACTGTCCTTGCGGTCTCCCATATGTGCTCATTTCATGCACCAGAGGTCGGTTTCAGCCTGGCCTTACTCCGTGAAGAGAGCTGTGTTAACCTGCTGCCTGGTCTGTCTTACAAGAGATGCCAGCTCCAGGCACCTGGGGCGTGCTGGCGTGACAGACAGACTGGACAGGGTGACACAGCACACGCAGAGTGTGTAGCTCATGGTCAGTGGAGTCCCTCCCCTGGTGGCACGTCATGAGCGTGGGGTGGCGCTTTCCGGACTTGATGTGGCCGTGTGCTTGCCTTTCAGGCGGGCCCACACCCTGACGGTGCTTTTCATCCTCACCTGTGTGCTGGGCTATGTGACTCTGCTGGAGGAGACGCCGCGGGACACGGCCTACAACACCAAGAGGTACCGGGCTGCCGGAGGTTGGGTGGGGTCCTCACTCCCTCAGGCTGGCCAGGGGTCTGGAGACCAGCCTCCACTGCATGCCCGGAGCATCCTGCCCGTCCCTGGGGCCCCACCAGCACGTCTCCCATGTGATCTGCAGGTCGTGCTGCATTTGCACATGTGAGACCAGAATGTGCTGCGGCAGCTCCCCCGAAGGGGTTCAGGTCAGTTCCCACAGGGACCAGCTTCCCCACACGCCCAGCACTCAACACTCCAGGCACTGTGAGTGTCCTGCAGGTCAGCCCAGTCTGGACACGGTCCCCCAGACAGCGCCAGACCCCAGGGTTACGGCCGCAGTCCTGCAGGACAGCCCCACCCCCACCCCCACGACCCCAGTAGCAAGTCCCGGTTGCCCTGTGCTTCCGACTGGCTGGCTGTGAGTCGGTTTCCCACCACCCCCTCCTCCTTTCATTAATTTGTTAGAGCAGTTTACGGAACTCAGAGAATACGTTACTTACTTACTTTGAAAAGTTTATCCTGAAAACACGTAACTGAGGAACAGCCAGGTGGGAAGGACGTGTGGGACGAGATGTTGGGAAGGGCCTGGAGCACCGGCCCCGCCCCCCCACGCCCCAGGTCGGCCGCTTTCTAGAACCCACTCAGTTCACCAGCCCCATCCTTCTGGATTTTAGAGAGGTCCCTCGCATAGCAGGGTTGGTTAGAATCCGTGGCCGTTGGTGATTGGCCCAGTCTGTGCCCCGCCCCCAGAGGTCTGGGGTGGCACTGAGCTCTGACCCCCTAATCGTGTGGTTGGTTCTCCTGGCAGCCAGCTCCCATCCAGAGGACACCCTGAGAACCTCAGCACTCTGGAAATTCCAGTTCTGGCCAGAGAAACAGATGAAGCCCAAATACATACGTGTTATAAATCACTGTGTCGCAGAGACTGAGTTGGGTGTCTGGGATGTACGGGTTTTTGTGAGGCCGGGGAAGGTTCCCACCAGCTGGCACCATCCTTCCACACTCTGTCGATACAAGGCTCTTGGAAAATTTTAAACTGGCTTTGAGAGTCTGGTGGCCTATCTCGAGCTGCGCAGGAAGAGGGAAGTCTTTCTGTGTTATCTCCAGAAGCAGATGAGCTGATGGGGTGCACCCTTTGCCAGAATCCATGGATTCTGGGGCCAGTCTCAGAGGTGCAGGAGGAAGATTTGCTGGTTTTAGTACTCGTTTCTGTGGGTTTTCTGCACTGGACGGATTTGCTGCTCCCTCTGGTTGCATGAGGCCCCCGTTGCTCTTCCAGTCCTGGGGCCCAGCCCCGCCTGCTCTGGTGGGGCAGGCGGAGGAGGCCAGGCATGGACAGAGGCCTGGAGGGGCCAGGAGACTGCTGGTCGGTCAGCCTCGGGTGGCGGGACTGGGCTTGCGCGCCGTCGTCCCCTGCCGGGCTTGAGGTGAGCGGCGTTTGGCACATCCTGCTGGACACCAGGGGGCTCCCACCAGGCTGTGGTGTGGGGTCTCCATGCTGCAGCGGGCGTGTCCAGGGGAGTCTGGGCTCAGGCCCCTGAGGGCTCCCAGTGGCTCACGTCCTGCCCTCACCCGTGAAGTGCAGGTATCCCACCCGTGCTCCAGCTCCCAGCTCCACGCTCGGTGGGGCTTCCTCCTGCCATTGCCTCCGGCTCCCGTCGGCTTTGCTGGGTCTTCCTCATTATTCTCGTCTGCGGGTGAGTCGTGAAGCCTTGCTGCCCGGGGCCCTGCGCTGCGACCCAGGCCCAGGGGCTGCGGGCTCAGGCTGCCCTTGTTGAGGAGGAGGCTTATTGGACGTGTCCGGGGCCCACCTCCTCGTCCTGTACTGGCCTTCCTCCTGAGCCGTCCCTGCCCGAGAGAGGCCAGGATGGTGAGCCCAGAAGGGGCCACCCAGACAGCGACAGGGGCGCCTGGACCCTCTCCAGGGGTCCCCTGGGTGAGTTCGTTGAACGAGGGGCTGGAGGAAGGCAGCTGGCTAGGGATTTGAGGGCCCCCAGACACATTCTGCTCTAAAGTTCTGTGCTCTGTGGACACACGGCATCATAGTGCACGATCTCTGGAGCCCAAAGGGGCTGCCCTCCCTGCCCTGTGGTGCTGCTGGTGGTGCCTGGAATCCACCCAGCGCCTCCTGGGAGCCCCTACCCCACCCTCAACTCCTGAGGCTCTGCTACTGCCTGCAGGGACGTGCTCTTGTGAGCACTGGTGCATGGCTGTGTGTGTGCAGAGTCCTCCCCCATGCCAGCATGTCTGCCTGAGCTGCGACAGGCGCTCCAGGGGCAGCCCCCCACCCAGGCCCCCAGGGGCTTGGGGAGGCTGCCAGGCAGACTTATTTTTATTATGTCAGAGCTCTCGCTGGAAGGTTTTATACATATAAAACGCTTCCTAAAGATTGTACGTATTTTCAAAAATACTATTTATGTTGTTAAAAATTTAGGAAATTGGTTTTCTTTAAGCTTCCGATTTCAGCTTGTGTGTCGTCATTCCTGTTACAGAACTCACGAGTTCTGTCACTTTGAGGGAGTGGGTTTCTTCCAAGTCAGCTTATTGACATGTGATTTCACGTGGCATGTAGTGCCCACATCCGTCCCGCCGCCTCTGAGCGCTGCAGTCAGTCTGCCGCCACTCCGGGCACCCCCGCCGGCCACATGCGGCCCTTCCTGCCTGTCCTGCAGCCTTGCCCAGCACACAGCTCCTGTCTGCCACCTCCCACCCAGCACCCTGCTGCGCCCGCCAGTGGCTGTTCTGGCCTCCTGCTGAGGGCGGCCCCATTTGGACACACCGCGGTTTGTTGACCCATTTGTCTGTTGGTGACATAGGGGCGTTTGTATTAGTGTACATGTTACATATGTGAGTGTATGAATGAGCCTACACCTGTGAAGTGTGAATCAATTTTGCATGTGTACACCAGAGAGAGCACAGCTGGGGAAGAGCAGAGTCAGGGCTGACTGCCTGGTCAGGACGAGGCGCTGACTGCATTGGTCAGGATGGGGAGCCAGCACGAGGCGCTACAAGACAGTCGACAGGACAGGACAGAGCCTAGAAACGACTCACAGACGGGGCCAGGCGCCTGGGACGGAGAAGAGGCAGCTCAGTGGAGAAGGGAGAGTCTTTTCAGCAAGATGGGCCTGGAGTGACCAGAGGTCCACTTGGAAAGAGTCTAGACACAGACTTTACATGTTTCACAGTGATTGATTTGAAATGGATTATAGACTTAAATGAAAAATAGAAAACTGTAAAACTTCTTGAGGAAAACATGGGAGAAAGTCTGGTGACGTTGGTTTGGTGATGACTTTTTAGATAGAATACCAAAAGCAGGATCCATGGAAGAGAAAACAGACGCCCAGTACTCTGCGGGGTTGGGGGGTGTGCAGAGGGTATAACTGTAAATACCTCATTATCCTCCTCCGAACACCTTGGGCAAAATACCTTCATTAAAATTGAAAACTTCTGCTCTGCAAAACTTGTTGTTAAGACAATGAAAAGACAAGCCACAGGCTGGTAGTAAGGAAGTATTTGCCTAACACACATCTGAAGAAGTACTTGCACTGTGCAGCGACCTCCTAAAGCTCACGGTGGGGAAGCCAGCAGCGCAGGGCAAACTGGGCAGGCGATCTGCACGGACACCAGAGGTCACACACGAGGAGGCGCTCACATCACCTGGCAGGGAGGTGCCGTCTGCACCTCAGGAGCCCCGCGACGTGAACCCAGCAGCACCACGGGCTGGTGAGGTTGTGGAGCCACAGACGCTGCCCCATCACTGGTGGGGTGCACGTGGGGCTGCCGCTCCGGGAGACGGCTTGGAGTCTCTCGTGGGACCAGACACTCCCACCGTGTGGTCCAGCGGTTGTGCTCCTTGGTGTTTACCCAGAGCAGCTGAAACTTACCACACAGAAACCTGCACACGGGTGTTCATAGGAGCAACCAAGACGTCCCTCATGGGTGAGTGGGCAGACACACGAGGACACTTGTTCGATGGACTCACTAAGCAGTAAGGGGAATGAGCTGTCGAGCTGTGGAGACACGGATGAAGCTTAAATGCAGGTTGCTGAGTGAGAGAAGCTGTCTGAGAAGGGGCCGTGCTGTATGAGTCTAGCTCTGTGATGTGCTGGAAAAGGCACGCTGTGCGATGATGAAAAGATCAGTGGTTTCCAGGGCAGAGGGAGAATGAGTAGGTGGAGTGTGGGATTTTTTAGGGATTTTTTGAAACTGCTGTGTGTGATACTGTAATGGAGAATACATGCCCCTGTGTGTTTGTCAAAACTGTGGGACTTTAATGTATGCAGATTGAACCACGCTCCTTGGAGAAACGGCCGGTGCCAGGGCCGGGACAGGGGAGCCCAGGGTGGGCCTGGAGTGTCTCCTTGGCAGCCCCCACAGAGATGTGTGTCCCAGAGGTACAGAAGCTGAATAAAAGCAGCCGAAGCTGGAACAATTTGAGCAACAAAATCAACAGAGTAATCTCGAATGATAACCCAAAGTGTAACGTAGACGTCCATGAGGCCATGTTGATAGAAGAAACGGTCGAATGTGTGAGTCGGGGAGAAGACAAGTCTCCCACGCAGAGGATGTCCCCTCAGGCTGTGCAGAGGGCCTCCCTTCCGAGGGTGCGGTGTGTGGGGGGCCACCTCGACACCCACCCGAGCATCGAGAATCAGCGGTGGCGTGTCCCTGTGAGGGTGTGGCACGGGCGGCCCCTCACACCTGCGGTCTCCTGCTCAGCCAGTAGCTTGCAGCCTTAACTAGGGGCTTCACAGCCCTCTGCCCAGCCTCCCAGACCAGGGACCGTCTGAGGATCCGCGCAGCCCAGAGGAGCTGAAGGAGACATGATGACTGATTGCCGCGGAGGTCTGGAGTGGGGTCCTGGGGCAGAAAAGGGACATGAAGTAAAAACCGAGGAAATCCGGGAGCACTGCCGACTTCGGTGTATCAGCGTCAGTTCGCTAACTGACAGAGGTGCCCTCCTGACAGTAGAGGGGCTGGGCTTGGGGAGTGTGGGAAGCTCTGTACTGTCTTGGCAGCTTTTCTGTTCTAAAATTAAAAGGTTACTTTAATGTGTAATTTAGTCACTTTTCTTTAAAAGTCAGTCCTCCTGGACAACAAGTCTTCCCACGAAATCGTAGATGTTACAGTAGGATGTGCACCCGAGGTCAGGGTCGTGGGCTGACCCGGGAGGGACAGGCTGCTCAGCACCGCGTGGCATAGGCCTCTCCTTAGTTCCGCCCTTGTGGTGTCTCCATGTGTCACCCCCAGCTCTGAGGCCGTCTCGCAGTGGCCCCGACAGTGGCCTCACTGGACAGCTGCCCCTTTCATAGGGCGGGGGGTATCTAACAACCCTTTCAGTGGGTTCTGGGAAGGTGCCCGCCGTCCCCTAGGCAGCCCTGTGTGGACCTTCCACACCCACCCACCGCTGGCACCGAGCCCGGGGCGGGGCGCTAGTGAGAGCTGGCTCTGTGTGGCCAGCGCCCAGCCCGTCCCTTGCCATCACAGCAGCCCCGCAGGACCGGGTGCGGCGGCCCCAGTGGGACGCGCCATTGGGCCCCCAGCCCTACCACCCTTCCATCGTAGGGCTTCAGTGACGCTGAATCATCAAGTACGGGGTTTCAGGCGGGTTTTGTTGTGTGTTTGTTTTAATGTGAAGCACGTCTTGGTGGTGAGGCCCCTGATGGTGTGAGTAACTCCTGGCCCCCAGTGGAAGGGCCTTCTTCCGAGGGCACTGCTGCCTCTGGGTGGTTGGAGCTGGTCTGGGCTGCTGAGGCCCCCTGGCCTCCCTGCTTCCGTCCCCTCTGCCCAGGGGTCAGGGGCTGTCACCACAGTGGGCGTCCTGGGGGTCCCTCCCACCTCCTGCCTGGGAGGAACCGACAGGGGCTTGGTGCTTACGCACACTGAGGGGCTGTTTGTTCTTTATTTGCAGAGGTATTGTGGCCAGTATTTTGGTTTTCTTATGTTTTGGAGTCACACAAGCTAAAGACGGGCCATTTTCCAGACCTCATCCAGGTAACTCGCCAATTCCCTTTCCGTGTGTGCCCGCGTGGCAGTTCTGTTCTGAGGGTTGCTCTGTGTCTACTGCTGCGTGTGCGTGTCTTGGCCCCCTTTCCTGGCCCCCAGCCAGCCACGCAAGTGGCCGGTGAGGAGGGTGGGCGAGGGGCTTTCAGACCTGTCTCCAGGTCTCTTCCTGTGGCCGCTGGACCTCCTTGGGGCCCTCCTCTGTCCTCCCACTCTTTGCCCTGTCCTGGACCTGTCCTGGCCCTTCTGTCCCGTCTCTGCCCACTCCGCCTCAGTCAGGGCCATCCTCCTGTAGACGGAGATACCCCTGGGGCCGTCCAGTGGCATTGGGGTGGGCTCGAGCTGGTGGCTCTGCCGTCAGCTGTGAGGTGCCCACCCTGCTGTTGGGGGCTCCCCAGGTGGCGACTGCAGCAAGGTTTCTGTCTCTGCCCCCCACCCACCCTGAAGTTGTGGGGCCTTCTAACCATGCCGGGCGTCCCCTCAGAGCTGGAAGGCATGGCTCAGGCCCCCCAGCATGTCTGGGGTCCCAGCCTCACTGAGGGGTCGTCTCTGAGGGCAGGGGGTGGTCGGTCTCCTGAAGGGTCACAACTTAGTGATACGTTTCTTTTCTGTCTCAGTAAAGGTGTGTATTTATTGTAGAACATTTCGAAAATACAATTTTTAAATTTAAATAAAAAGCACTCACAATAACCACTGCTCAGTTTCAGTGTGTCTGTATATGTGTGTACGTACGCAGCTGTGAAAAATTGGCATCACACCATACGTGTGGTTTTATATCGTGCATTTTTCCCTTCAGGTTTAACATAAGCATTTTCTCATTCATTTTTTATGCAACAGCTGGAATTTTGGTGGCTGCTTGTTTAGCCGTCGTTTGAATGTACAGCAACCTACTGAGCCAGTCCTGTGCCATTTTATGTGTAGAGTTTCCAGTTTTATTGTAATAAACCAGGCTGTAGTAGGTTTCCACACATAGACCTGTGTGTACATATGATCATTCATGTGACGAAAGTTCCAGGAGGGGAAGTGGCGGATTAAGGGTGTGAGTGTTTGGGCGCCTGATGGTTGCCCTCTGGAAAAGGTGTGTGCACCCAGCGGCCAGTATGCACTGGGGGCTCATGGAATTGAGCGAGGCGCCAGGGTGTTCTGAGCCGGGCGGGGGCTCGCCATCTGCTCTGTCCTGGTAGTGCCTGGTGGGGACCGGGGTGCTGGATGAAGCCTGTGTGGTCCGACTGCAGGGCCTGCTCTACCTGCTCAGTGGTCTAGGTGCATCCAGTCTTGATGTGGGGGGGGGGTGCTCCTAGCCAGAGCAGTGGGAAAGTGAGGTGAAGTATAAGAACCACCAAAATCACAGTGAAAAGCCAGGTTTAAGTGCTGTCAGATCGAGCTGGAAGGAAGAGAGGGGCTGCTGGAAACGCACCCAGTGCTTGTCTGTGGTGACGCACTGTGCCGGGCGGAGCTGTGAGCAGGACTGGCAGGCAGGCCCGGGGGTGCCTCAGGGCTCCAGCTTCAAGTCTTCCTTGTCTGAAAGCTCTCACCAGGGCCCCTCTGGGCCTAGTGGGCATCAAGCCGGCTCCCCTTCGGCAGAGGGCAGTGTGGTGCTTTCTGGGTCTGTTTTCTGAGCTTTGCTCTTCAGTTGCTGTTTTTCTGCTGACCTTGATCAATTAATGAGGGAGCTCGTCCTGGAGCATCGTCTTTCGGATGTTTTGTCTCGGTAGCCTGGTGGTTGGCGAGAAACCCTCAGGGTCTCAAATCAGGTTACACTAGAAGTGGCTCTGGGATCAGTCCTGGGCTGCACGCTGAGGGGCCAGGGAGAAGGGCTTTCTGGCCCCAAAAGGAGGTGCTTTGGGGTCTCCGCCCACACCCTGCCCCGCAGGCCTGGGCCCTGGTAGCCACGAGGGAAGCTGACAAGAGGCCCCAGGTCTGCCTGTCTGGGGGCTGCTTTATTTGGAAGCTTGAATTGGCTGTAGGTCCAGATGGGACTGGCCCATCTGTGGCTCCCTCTGAAAGCTGGAGTAAGTATGAATGTTTCCAGTGCTGCTAAGGTGGCCAGATTCGATGTTTAGGAGGAAAATAGGAGTGTTGGGTTGGGGAGGGGTTGGGCTCCGAGTCAGGAAACCAACTTCAGGAGTCTCGGGGGTGGTCCAGGGAGAGATGGCAGCTGTGGAGCAGAAACCCTGGCCGTGGGGCACCTAGGTGTTTGGGGTGGGGTGGGCGGGTCTGGGACCCTGGTGGCTCTGCAGGCCGAGTGTGATGGGGAGTCTGGGGGCCGTACGGGGAACGTCGGGCAGTGACGGTGCCACTGCAGATGCGAGACGCGTCTTCGTGGGAGGAGGCTGGCTGTCACCGCAGCTGAGCGGCCCCAAGTCACCTCCCTGCCACCCGCTGCCTGCTGCTGCAGCTCTTGAACCAGGGAGTTTTCTAGGCTTCTCCCATCCTTAAGGGCGCAAAGAATAAGTTTGTCACCTCAGCCGTGTGTCTCCAGTGTCTCAGAATGTTAGTCAGCTTCCCTGAAAACTGGCCACGTCAGTGAATCTCTGTGGCCGCTTCTCCCGGCAGGTAGGTCAGACACAGGCCTGAAGGCCCCTGTGTGCCTTCCGTGAGCCGCTGCCCAGGGAGCCGCCTGGCGCCTCAGCTCACCCGCTGGAGCTGAGGCGCGAGGGCCCGGGGCGGACACGGGCGAATGCAGACTCCCTGGGGAGGCCATGGCCCAGCCTTGGGTCTCCAGCTTGTGGGCGGGCCCGGTTTGTTTCAAGATGAATGAGCTTTTGCAGGTAGGCTGGTGGGTTTCTAGTGGACGTAAGCCTAGGGCAATCAGATACCTTAGGCCTTTGTTAACAGGTTTATGAAGAGTCTTGGACGGTTCTAGACCTTCCCCTTCTCGTTCCCTCATCCCCCGGTGGGAAGTTGAGCCTTCTGTGTGAGAGCATGGAGAGCAGACGGTGAGCGAGAAGCCCTCGCTCGTAAGAGGAATTCTGAGGGACACCTCTTTCTGTCTCCAGCTTTGTTGGAATGTAGCTGGCACATACCGTGTAAGTTGAAGGTATACAGTATGACGATTTGATGCACATACATCGCAAAATTAATACTCCAGAGGGGTTAGTTGTCACCCCACGTAACCCTATCTGCTTCTGTGGTGAGAACGTGTACCATCTACTCTCTCAGCAGCCCTAAGGGTGAAGTGCAGCCCTGCTGGTCACCGGAGGGCAGGCTCTTAAGACTGCTGACTGAAGCTTATGACAGGTTCCCGAAACAGGTCGTTATGACCAAATTGGTTTTATCCCGGGAATTCGGGAATGGTTTAACACTAGAGAATTTGTTAATACCATTCGTCACATTAACACTGAGGGAAAAAGTAGATCCTCGTATAAACTTTCGTACTCATTTTTGATAGAAGCATAGTGCATTAGAATTGAAAGATTATCTTAACATGGTGGAAGGTGTCCACCAAAACCCTGCAGACTGACTTCACAATGAAAGTCAACACAAGGCAGGAGCGCTTGCCGCCCCGCTCTGTCCTCTGAGCTGCAGGGAGACGAGCAGAGGTGGAGGCCCGGGGACGGGCACGCAGCTGGGGAGACTGCTCACCTCTGACCGAGGTCTTGCTTTGTGAAGTGTCTGCCGGGGGCCCGAGAGGGGCCTGGACTGGGGCCCGCGCGTGTCCAGGAGCCGCACAGGGGACGGGACAGCCAGGTTCCAGCAGGGCTGGCGCCCCTAATGCCTCTGTGTTCTGTGTCTTTGCAGCTTATTGGAGGTTCTGGCTCTGCGTTAGTGTGGTCTACGAGCTGTTCCTCATCTTTATACTCTTCCAGGTAAGCGGCTTTTCTGGGTTATGAACTGTGGGAACTAGGTGAGTGAAAGGTGGCAGAGAAGGCTTTGCATGTCAGCCCCTCCCCGTCTCTGATGGGAGGCAGGGCTGGACCCTGTCCCGGTGGGCAGAGGTTGCGGAGGGAAGGTGGGAACTGTCGCCTTTACCAGTCTCCTTTCAGCGGCATGGGCCTCTGGGCCCGCTGTGCTGTGTGGGTCGGAGGGATGATGCGTTGGGATGCAGGCGCCTGGAGGGTAGTCTCTGCTTTGAGTTGCAGGTGCTTCATCTGAGCGCCAGGCCGCGCCCCGGGGGGAGCACCGCTGACCCCTGACACGGGCGCTCTGGGTGTTGGAGGTGGACCTGGGGCCCGTGGCTGCACAGTTTGTTTCTGGCTTTGTGGCTTCCCTCCCTCCTGCACACGTTCACAGGTGGTCAGGGTGAAGGGTGGAGACTCACTTCCTCAGTAGATAAACCGTGGATCAGGATTTGTTGCCACTAGTGTCCATTGAGTAATCCTCCTTGTTCTGGTTAACCCAGGGAACCACATTTGGTGGTGGTCTTCAGTCATCAGTCTCAGCTCTGCCGGTGACGGCGGGGCTGTGTATCGTCATAGAGACATGTGTACGGCGCTGTTCACACCTGCGCAGACGCCACAGCTGGGCGCGGAGCAGTCTTGTCACCCAGCCCCCCTCGGGCGCCCTGGGCAGCTGCATGGCCCCCGGCCCTCCCCCAGCAGCACAGCGTTGTCTCTTGGAGAGTCTCCTGTGGATGGAACTGTGCGGAATTCATCCAGGCTGCGTGCCGCCAACACCCGCTCCTTGTTCTTGCGAGGGGTCCCTGGCAGGTGTGCTGCCATCGTTCCCGGTGTCGGGGACACTGTGTTGTGTCGAGTTTGGGCAAATATGAGTGGGGCTGCTCTGAGCCCTCCTGTACAGGCTTTTGTGTGAACCTGAGCGTTTATTTCTTGAGGGCAAACACACATTAGGTGTGTTTCGCTTTCCGGGTCGCTGCGGGCTGCTCCCCGGGGCGGCGGTGTCCCTGCCGTCGCCAGGATGCTTTGCTTTAGCGAGTGTCTTGTCACGGATGTAAGTGTGCTTCCAGAGTGGCCAGTGGTGCTGGCCGGCCAGTGCTTCACGAGCCGTGACACGTCCTTTTTGGGGAAGTATTCGTCTTTTGCCCTTCTTAATAATCGGGTGGTTTGTTTTTGTAATGTCTGGTTATGGCAACTTTTTACATAGTTCTGATGCCAGGTCCTTTATTGATGGGTGGTTTTCTCCAGGCCTGTCGCTGGTCCCTCATTCCTTACCAGTGGCGTTTGTTGTGTCTTTTCTTTTTGTGCTTTGATGTCATGTCTAAGATTTCTTCGACACGAGGTTAAGATTTTTTCTTGTATTCTAAAACCCACATGGTCTTCTATTTTGCATGAGATTGCCCATTCTTTGAGATATTTTACATTGAGATTGTCCACTGAGTTTTTTTACATTTTGTCTTGAAGTAATTACAGATTCACAAGAAGTTGTGAAAAGTTGTATGGGTATGTCTCATGTTCCTTCACCTAGTTCCCCAGTATTTTGCATAAATACAGGACAGTATCAAACCAGGAAAGTGGTTTTGGAGCCATCCACAGAGCTTGTCCGTCCAGTTTTACATACATGCATACATACACACGTCTGTATGTAGAAGTGCTTAATTTTTATAGTTTTATTCCAGTGTGTTTAATTAAAAATTTTTAAAATTGTAGTAAAAAAACATAACATACAATTTATAATATTAACCATCCTTAAGCGCACAGCTCAGTGGCATGAAGCACAGCCGCACTATTGTGTGACCAGCACACCATCATCTCCAGAACTTGTCCCTCTCCCCAAACTGACGCTCTGTCCCCATTAAACACGCGCTCCCCTCCCCGTCCCCAGCCCCGCCCGCCCCTCTCTATGGATCTGACTCCCCCGGGGACCCCATGTGAGTGGAGTCGCACAGGACCTGTCCTTCCATATCTGGTTCATTCCACTCGGCACCACGTCCCCAAGGCCCATCGTGCTGTAGCTGGGTCGGAATGCCCTTCCTTCTTAC